TTTTTTTGTGTTATATAAAGGAACAAATTCAACTACATAGAATAAAATAAAGCAAGTCAATTAAAGAGAACGAACAGAAAAATAGAACAAATCAATGACACTATCATTTATATATCGGAGTTTCACAAAATAGGAGAATGAGATGAGAACAATACTACAATATTATATATGAGCAATGAACAATAGTGCAGTATTATTAGCAAATAAAAAATGGAGAAGACAGGAGCATAGAAAAAAAAGATAAAAAACTCACTTGAAAATTCTTGAAAAGTCACTTCAAACAATCCTTCAAAATCCGATGGGTTTGGATGGGATTGTTTTATGAATTTGGTATTTATAGATAACACTAGAAAGTCCTTCAAAATCCCTCTCACACAACAATCCTTTAAAATTCTTATATTCTTGAATACCAATGAATTGTTTTTAAGTTGTAAAAAATCTCAAATGAATACCAATGGATTTTAATGGACTCTTTAAAAAATCTTGAAAATCCTGATTGAATACCACTGGATTATTTTTAAGTGACATAAAATCCTGATTGAATACCAATGAATTTTTTTACTCAAAAAAAGTCTTTTAAAATCCTACGAAATTCTAAACCAATACACCCCCCTAAGTTTTTTAAACATGTTTTTAAGAATTTAATTTCTATTTAAAAAGAAAAATCTTCTCTAGTTAAGTATTTAAAAAAAAGGTTGACTTTAGCATATTTTAACATGAATACTAAAGTAAAAATTATCTTACATATTTTTCATGCTATTTAATTTCGAAAAAATTATTATAACCTTCCTTAAAGTTTGTCAAAATTACATCGACCTCCCTTTTAGTTTTATTAGTTAATACTCACTTTTTTATTTTATAATTTAGTTTTTACATATCATCTCTTTTATAATATTAATTTATTTACATGTTAAAACTTATTCACTTTTATTATGATTTGAATTTTTTTCTATGATTGAAAAAGTACTAGTACAAATATAAAATAAATGTAATTCATTGGTGGATTGCACAAAGACATGAGTGATAGATTATTTGCATCTAAAAATTTTATCAACAATATTGATCACCCACAATTAAATTCAAGAAACTTAAATAAATCTATATATTAATAAGGATGTCATTTTGTAGTTTTGACAAAAAAAAATGCAATATTTACATAATTACATTTTTGTTTATATATATATATATATAAAGACAACCTAAAAAAGTTGTTTAAATAAAGATACTAAAAAGAGGAGATAATAAGAAAAAGAGTTTGTTAATGAAAAAATAAGAAAAATCATGCATTTTAAAGATTTATTATTTTTTATCTAAATAATTTATTAATTTTATCTAATTTAAGAAGTTAAATAGAATTAATATTAGAAAGGAATTTATTTTCAAAAACTTCAAAGGTAATTTTTTGTTACTTGCAAACTTTAGGGCAGATTAATACAATTTCCCCTATAATTTAACAAGATTTTGTTCCCGAATTTCTACTATGATATCAGCGTCCTTGTTAAAGAATACGCTTAATAATAAAAATCAAAGGCTCAACAAAAAAATTAGAAATATAAATAATAATAATATCCTTAATATCTCTTTTTCATTTTTAAGTTAATACCAAATTAGAAAAAAAAATTATTTCATTTATCTGTCATGTTAAAGAAAGCTTAGAAAATGTTTTTAAAGAATAAACAAGTAAAAAGAATCTATTAAATTTTATTACAAAATTTTCCAATTTTATTTCATCATTTTATTGATTGGAAGGTAATGAAAATAATTCAACATTTTTTATTTAGTTTCTTGTTAGATTACACTAAGTAAGATGAAAATTTTTATTTCTCACTTTTCAAAGTGTAAGAAATACCATAAAAAAAAATTGCAATACATACATTTATGCTTTCAATACAAATTTTATGTTAACAAATTCAAAACAATAATAAAAAAATACAATTATGAAATGGAGGGAATAACCGTGGTTTTTTTTTTAAATGTTAAAATTTTTATTTTTATTTTATTAGTTGTATTTTTTATATTAATTGTGTGTAAGAATGAAGTGTTGGATTTGTGCTCATAAAAGAATTTCTTATTAAATAATACTTTATTAATATCATTTTTTTCTTTCGATTCATATCATATTATATTACTTATTATACTACCACTTCTCTCTTTATTTCTCTAAATGTTTATTAGAGTTTAGTATCTACAAATCTTTTTAAATATTTGAGGTTGAAAACATATTTTGTTACCTAAGGCAGTTTAACATAAATAGTTAAGAAATTATAGAAGAAAATTCTTGTATTTTTTTTATAGGTGTGGGTTCAAATAAATTATTTTGAATTTGAATCCGTCTAAATTCTTATTTTGTGAACTCTTGTTAAGGATATTTCTTAATGTTTAAAAGATATTTGAATAATTAAGATTAGGAAAAGATTAAAATAACTCAAGTTAAATTAAACTTTTTGAAGTCTGATCATAATCTATTTCTTAAATATAAAGTTAGGATCTATTTTAATATGAACAAAAAGTAATTGATTCAACAATGTTTGTGTTGTGATTCTTCTAATAGTGCATATAATTTTACGTGTATATGACTCATTTATACTTCTAATCTTGTGAGAGATATGCACTGACAATGATTTTAATGTTCAATTAGAGTTTGGAAGGATAATAACGCTTATGAATCAAATAATATAGTTGGTTCTAGTTGCCAAAAGGAACTATATATTAACAATTACTTATAAAGTTGTAATCCTTAATGATTATTTTTTTCCTTCTATTAAGAGTATAGATCTTAAGATACAACACTTCTCGTCGTATACAAAATTTTGTGATTACATCGACTTCTCAATGTAAGAGTGTCCAAACGATAATAGTTTATACAATTTTGAACAAATGATCGATGAAGAATTTAATAAATTTGACCAATTAAGAGTAATAGTTAGTGCTCGAGACTTGATATTCCTTCATGACAAGACCTATCTTATTTACTTCAGTTATTTTAAGGACTTGGATGTCCATTTTCAAAGTTTAACATGACAAAAATATTTAATAAAGTTTTTTAATTAAACTAGCATGTAAGGAATATACTTTTATATATTTGATCCAATGAATCTAAAACTTTTATATCGACTATGAACAGTGAGGCATTATGCCCCTCACTATTGTTTTAAAAAGTAAATAATAAATAAAATGTGAATATGTAATCAACTTTATAATATTGGGGTGATTAAAATTTAGTTGAGAGGTAAAATAATTCAGAAAATATATACATCAAATGTAGTATCTTTATTAATAATTAGAGATTAACAATTAACCATAATATATAATTTTAAAAATCTTATGATAAAATGTTAATATAATAATAATAGGTGCATCAATTGTGTATTCACTTGAATATAATTCAGTCTAAGATTCCGAACTTTTTTTTTTCTCTTCAAGAATTACTGAAATTAATTAAGGAGATTTTTCACACACTAAATTGGAACTTGAATATCAAATTTTTGCAATTTCAGTTAAGACGAGAGATTGAATTGCATTATTCATTAACCTATCATCTCTTTATTTTGTTTTGAACATGAGATCTCTATATACTAGCAATGATTCATCAAATCTCTTCAGAGTTTCTAAATTGTCACTAATGTGTAATCTTGACCACAAAATTTGAATGTATTTTGTAATAGTGATCAAATGGATCAAAATGTAACATCAAAGGCACGAAATTATTGTGACAAAATTTAGTCTTGTTTAAAATTCTTTTATAAGCCTCCGGTGGAATAGGTGCGGGGGGCATTATACTAATTACTAATTAATTATTGACTAATAAATAATTCAGTAATTCACCACCAATCTTATTGTCCCTTCTCTCATCTATCTTGCGAATCATCGTTCTACGGTCTAAACCATGTGTCGGTAGGAATTTCATATTTATTTTAATATTGGCGAACTCCCACTGTTCATGACAACTTCTTTATTCAAAAACTGTTGTTTACTTGTTTAATATTTAATTACTACTGTATATATGTTTTACTTTATTTGAATTTTTAGTTTCAGTTTCTTAAATATAAAAAAAAATCATACTATTCTCTTAAAGTATTTCTCTTGGATGAAGTTGATTTTTATTATGATTAATTTTATAAAGTTGTTTTTCTTCTCTGTATATTTATTTATTGACTTCTCTTAGTTGGTGTTTAGAAAAAAAAAATAAGATGACATTTAATATGGAAGGTATAGTATCATATATTTACCAGCCTACTAACTAGTAGCATAAAAATATTCGAGGTATTGCCGTATTACACATTGGGATGACTATTGACTGGATTGAAGTAATTTTGATATGTTATTGTTCAAACCATAATCAAATGCAAGAGAAATGCTGACAGTACAATTTCTAATACATTTTTTATTCGTTAAAATTTACTAGAAATTACATAATAAAATAAAAATTCATTAAATAATAAGTAAGACTTACCAAAAAAATTTATAATTCTCCATAAATTTCAAATAAGAATAAATACAATACATTTCAGTCAATAATAGAGGATATATTCAATCGTGTGTTGGAGAATTATCATCAAACGGAACCCGCACAAACAGATTTGAATTAGCCCAAACTGCTCATTACTTTCAAGTTTTTTTGCTTCTTATTTTTTTTTTTATAAAGAAATTCTTATTAAAAATTCCGCAAAATATGATTAGTAAATCAGGTCAAGGTTAGACAGATTAAAATCTAACTTCAGGCCTGATCCAAAACGATCATATATTCCGATTTGAGTGCAAACTCTATCCTGATTTGGCCATCTTTTTTAGAGGTTGGATCGAAAGGTCTGAACTCGTGTGCATGAGTGTATCCCTAATCGCTAAGTCCCCTTTGTAAGGTGCATGATTGCATCCAATTTCCATAAGGTGCTGATGAAGGTCACATTTTGGCTTTAAGCTACATTGCCTCTGGAACCTGCATTCCGAGGACTGCCGTTAATGCAATCTAATAATACAAAGACTAGTCATAATACATCATGGTAAATCTCTACTCGGTGCATTTAAGATCCAATGGTGTTAAAAATTTAAGCCTTTCAAATAAATTTGAAATTCGGTGACAATACAAGAAGAACATGCATCTGATGTAAAAATAAAAAAGCGTTACAGAAATGAAAGAATTACAGAGGAATTTGATAGTGGGGGCCTTGTTTATCAAAATATATATGTTGAACAATTAAGGAAAAAGCTGCTGTAACATTATTCAATTCAAATTCAAGAGGAGAACAAAACTAACTCTATACGATGCTCCTGATATACTGGACAAATTGAATTACAAACAAGCACAAGTTTGTGTAACAAAAAAAAAAGAAAAAAAGAATCAATTCACATGAAAAAAAAAAAAATGAGCTAATGAGAAGTTGAATCACCATAACATCATATATCTAATTGAACAAGCTGCTGCATAGAAAAACAAAATAAAAATAAAAATGAGGACTTATGCTGCTCTCTGGCCTCTGCGAGTCTTTAATAGAATGTCCTTGAGATAGTCATAGCGACTGCGGTGATAATCAATCCACAAACACAGTTGCCTGATAACCTCTCTCTTCTCCTCCCCTAAGTCCAATATGCCATCCTCTTTCTCTTTCATCATTTTCTCTAGTTCTCCAACTGTCTTCTTAAGTTGAACTACAGTTGTCGTCAGATTCATCTTCTCTGATTCCTCCTTGCTTGCCTTTTCCTCTAGCTTCTCAATGCTCTTCCTCAAAGCCACTTCCTGTTCGTTTTTAACCTGCAGCTGCTCTAACAAGTGGCTTTTGTCTCTCTTTAACTTCTCTGTTTCCTTATTCATCTCCCTGACATTGTCCTTTGCAACTTTAAGCTCATGTGAGATGTTTGAGATCCAGTCCTCAAAAGTTTTACAGTCATCAGAAAATTTCCAGCTTACAGTTTCTATGCCAGTCATGACACTGTTCACACTCTCTCTAATATTAGAGACAATTTTATCAAAAGCTTCATTGTTGGCAGTTATTATTGCTGACAAAGTGGCAACTCTTTCTTCAAGTGTTCTCAGATCTTGCTGAAACTTTTCCTCTATCTTTCTAAAGCTCTCTTCCTTCTCACTCAGCAATTGTTCTGTGACCCGAAGCTTCTGGTCTGACAGACGAAGCTTAACCTCAAGCATCCGAACCTTCTCAAGCAAAGTACCGATTTCATCTCCTTTTTCTTCTAGGTCGCTTTTAAGGTCCTCTATTGTATGTTCCAAATCAACTACAAGCTGATCTTTCGACTCAATACCTTCTTGAACCTCCCCTGCCATTTCTTCAATCTTTTTCTCTGCAACTTCTAGTTTGACCATGCATTCCTTAAACAAACTATCAATTTGTTTATATTCTTCATTCAACTTCTGATATGAATCTTCTCGTTCTCCCAATGTTCTCTTAAGATCCATAGTTTTGCTTGATATGTCATTCTTCTCATTCTCTACCATTGTAAGGCTTTCTGCATGTTTTTCACTAATTTTTTCACAGTGGAGCTCCAATTCTTCCTTTGTTTTCTGTAAGGAAAACAAGTCTTTTTGCAGATCATCAATTTGGGTCGTGAAGGCAATTAATTGACTTGCAGCCTCGGTCTCTTTTTCCTGTAACGTGGATAAGTCGGCCTCTTTCTCAGCTAATGTTTTCTCCAGTGCAGTAATTGTTCCCTGCAATCCCATAATTGCCTCTCTCAGTTTGGTGTTTTCATGGTCTTTCACTGTCATTTGCTCTTCAACCTCACCCTTCTGGTTTTGTGTGGAATCCAGCTCCATCTTCAGCTTTTCACACTGTTGTTCTAATTCCTGTTTCTCATTCTGCAGTGACATCAAATCATGGTTTAGATGATCAACTTGGACTGTGATGGCAGTTATTTGGCCTGAAGCCTCACTCTCTTTTTCGTGAAGCTTTTCCTGTAAGGTGGACAACTCTGATTCTTTCTCAGCTAATGTTTTCTCCAGTGCAGTAATTGTTCCCTGCAATCCCAAAATTTTCTCTCTCAGTTCAGCATTCTCATGGTCTTTAGTTCTCACATGCTCTTCAACTTCACCCTTTTGGTTGTGTGTGGAATCCAGCTCCATCTTCACCTTTTCACACAGCCGTTCTAATTCCTGTTTCTCATTCTGCACGGACACCAAATCATGTTTTAGATTATCAATTTGGACTGTGAAGGCAGTTATTTGGCCTGAAGCCTCACTCTCTTTTTCGTGAAGCTTTTCCTGTAAGGTGGATAACTCTAACTCTTTCTCAGCTAATGCTTTCTCCAGTGCAGTAATTGTTCCCTGCAATCCCAAAATTTCCTCTCTCAGTTCAGCATTCTCATGGTCTTTAGTTCTCATATGCTCTTCAACTTCACCCTTTTGGTTGTGTGTGGAATCCAGCTCCATCTTCAGCTTTTCACACTGCTGTTCTAATTCCTGTTTCTCATTCTGCACGGACACCAAATCATGTTTTAGATTATCAATTTGGACTGTGAAGGCAGCTAATTGGCCTGAAGCCTCGCTCTCTTTTTCGTGAAGCTTTTCCTGTAAGGTGGATAACTCTAACTCTTTCTCAGCGAATGCTTTCTCCAGTGCAGTAATTGTTCCCTGCAATCCCAAAATTTCCCCTCTCAGTTCAGTGTTCTCATGCTCTTTAGTTCTCATTTGCTCTTCAACTTCACCCTTCTGGTTGTGAGTGAAATCCAGCTCAATCTTCAGCTTTTCACCCTGCTGTTCCAATTCCTGTTTTTCCTTCTGCAGAGAAGCCAAATCATGTTCAAGATTCTTAATTTGTTCACTGGAGGCCGCCATTTGAGCCGAAACCACTGCCTCTGAGTTAACAAACTTATCCTGGAGAGCAAAGATGTTTGTTTCTCTATCTGTTGATATTTTCTCTATTTCTTCTATTTTTCCATGTAACTCCAACATTCCCTGTCTCATGTGACTGATCTCATCGCTTTTAGCCCTTAACTGCTCTTCTGCTTCACTGTTTTTGTTCCTTATACTGTTTGTCTCTAATTCCAAAGCACTTATTTGCATGGCTAAATTTTCTCTGTCTTCCAGAAGTCTCTCTTGTTCCAGGATTTTTCTGTCAATTTCCTCTTTCAGAGTTTGCATTTGAATCACATACTCAGAATTCTCTTGGACTTTTTCCGCTAACTGAACTTCCAAGTCAGATTTATGGTGTTGGAGGGACTCCACTTCTTGCTGCAAAGCATTCACCTCATTAGTAATGTTTTGGACTTGATTCGAGGCTTCATTACTTTTAAAAATTATCTGCTCTTCCAGTTCATTTTTCTGAGCATGTAATGTGCCTATATCAGCCAACAGCTTCTTTATCTGAGATGTTAAATCTGTCATTTTAGCAGATGACTCGTTTTCATTATCTTCGAGTTTCTTCATCAGTGCAGATAGCTCCTCTTCTCTCTCTCTGGACTTCATTTCAAGCTCCGATATTTGGTTTTGTAGGCCTGTATTATTCTCTCCTAGTTCCCTTGCTTCAGTGGTGCTGCTCTTAATTTGCTCTTCCATATCTCTTTTCTGGTTTTGCATTGATTCTAATTCCAGCTCCAGGCTTGTGATTTGTGCCTCCAGTTCCCTGATTTGATTTGAGGATTCTTTTTGATACCCTTCATGCGTCTGAGTGAGGGCTGAAATTTCCCTTGCTCTTTCATCATGTTTCTCCTTTAAATGACTTGATTCAGCTACAAATTCTTGTATTCTGTTGTTAGCCAGCTGAACCTCATCTGAAGCCTGTGAAAGTTTCGCTTTTAAAGATTCATTTTCTTCCTCAGCTACTTTCAGATTATAGCTTATATTTGTCATTTGCTGTTCTGCATGTTCCAACTGTTGTTTCAGAATGGAAATTTCAGCAGTAACTGCCTCTAACTCTTTGCCAACTGCTAGTTTATCATCTTTCAGTTGATCAACAAGCGTTCTCAGGCCATCACTAATCTTCTTTTCCTCTTCAATCTGTTGGAGAGCTATCTCCTTCTCTGCGGCCACACTATCTTTTTCTGCCGTTAAGTCTTCCAATCTTTGACTCAGTTCAGCTTCTCTTTTACCAGCAATGTCCAGTTGTTTATTTAGTTCAGCTTCAGCAACAGTTTTCAAATCCATGTTAATTTTGTTTGCTTCTTGTATCTTGCTCAATGCTGCAAGATATTTTGAATTAAGATCCTCCTTCTCTTCATGTGTAACTGTCAACTTTTGATTTAATTCAGCCACTTCTATATTCACCACTTCAAGTTCTTGCTTTAAGCCATCGATTGTCTTTTGAAATTCATTTTCCAGCTGTCCGTTTTTGTTGTCTTTGTCCTTTGAAGAATAATCTGAATCTGAGTCTGAGCTGGATGAAGAACTCCCCTTTTCTTGCTTACCCTTAATCTTTTTCCTTAACTCGCCTGTTAGATGATCATATTGTGCATAAAGTGATTGGTATTGATTATGGAAATCTTCAATCAGTTCAACAAGTGGTTCCTTCTTTGAAACTTCTACTTGGGTACTATCCTCTTCAAGGTTGTTATCTTTAATAAGTCTCAGTATCCTTTTCACTTTCTCTTCAATTTCTGTAGGAAAAGAAGAAAATTTCCAAATCATTAGTTTGATCATCATAAGGTGATACATGCAAATCATAGCAAATTATTCATCAATATTTTCCATGATATCATATCATGCTGTCATGGTAGCAGCCGAATGTAATCTTTCATAAAGATTGTACCTGCTTTAGCCACCTGGAGCTGCTCTTCTTTATTAGGGTCAATGTGACTTCCAAAGAAAGATTTAATAGACTCCCTAAAGCGATGTTTCACCATCTTCTCTGTAGATTTTCAATTTCTTAGCAGTATAAAATCAAGATAATCTGTTTCTCATGTAATTAATGAGATTTGAGCCCTGTAAGACAGGAGTTGAATTTTTCAACACATTTCCTTGATATTTGAGCCCTGTAATGCACAATTTTCCAGATGTTTTAAACATGTCATTAATGAGAATACAAATCTAGCTACTTTTGAACAATAAATTTTCTATTTATAAAAACATATACAAATTATAGGAGATCGACTGAAACATGTAGAAATAGTTCCTGAATAATACAACTTGATCATACAAGTCCCTAAATGATAGAAATTACACTTTGCAGTCCCTAAACCTGCATTAAGTCATTAAATTAGTCTTTGAATATGTATTCTATCAATCAAATTCACCGAAGATTTGTCCCTAGAGTACTAGGCATGTATTGATTGATCTTATGCATAATTTTCATAACTAAAGGACTAATATGAGCAACATTGTATCTTTCAAAGATTAACTTTTTCCTTCGCTTATTGTTTTAGTTATAACAGAAACAGAACATGTGACATCCGTGAGCAGTCTTTCAACACCAACACTTCGCCACATAAAGGACTTTTTTTTTGTAAAGAAAAGGATTTTTTTTTCATACAGCTTCTGTGTAGCCCAAGATGGGTGGTATGCAATATTTGGTGTGCGAACAAAAATATTTTAAGTCAAATAATTTTATATGATATCGCAATCAAAGATGTTGCAGGAAATTAAAAGCAAACTCTTGTTACAGGGAAATACGAAAATATTTGAATATAGGGAAATGTACAAGTATATAGGGATCATTCAAAAGACCAACTATTATTATTCTCCAGAACTCATATCAATCCGATGACAAAATGAAGCCCAGGTGACCCCATGCTATAGCGGCTTTATTTCACTTTTTGAAAGTGGTAATTCGGGTTCAGTTGCAGATTATGGGATTAACTAGTTGCATAATCTAGAAAATAGAGAGAATAAAGGAGAATGTGTAATTGTTTGGGTCCACCCTTCACGGTCAGATTCTCAATGAAATAGATGCATGGCTATCATCGCTGGACCAAAGTTTTATAATTTATTCGCTCAGCTTCGCAGAGTTCAAATTTTCCGAACGAAATATATATATATATATATATTCCTATTACCAAGGAACGCAGATTGTGACTGATCAATCACCTTCGACAAGATTGACTTGAGTCTTTTTGCTAGGATTTTTGCCAAAATCTTGTACATACATCCGATAAGAGAGATAGGCCTGAATTCGCTTAAGTCTTGGGGTCCAACTTTTCTGGGATAAGAGCAACAAATGATGGGTTCGACCCTCTAGGCAATCTACCAAATTGATGAAACTCATTTATAAATCTAACAATATCTGCCTTCATAATTTCCCAAAATTCCTTGATGAATTTGAAATTGAAACCATCCGGACCCGGGCTCTTAGAACTCCCGCATTCCCCAATTGCCTCTTTTATGTCAGTCTCTGCAAATGGTGCTATTAGAACTCCCACATCCCCCTAAACATTATTATTATTATTATTATTATTATTATTATTATTATTATTATTATTATTATTATATTGTTGTTATTATTATTATTATTATTATTATTAACATTATCATAATTATCATTATTATTATTATTATTATTGTTATTATTGTTATTGTTTTTGTTTTTATTTTTGTTATTTTATTATTATTTTTATTATTATTATTAATGATAATAATGAGATGACTTGGTGATGATTTCGATTCTTACCTTCTAGAGGAATTCAACTAAAACATGGTATTCCCTTAGAATTACCTTTTTAATGCATTTAGTAGAAATATACATGCAAGATCCTGATACTTACAATGTAATAATACAAAAATTATTATTTTTATTATTGTTGTTATTATTGTTCTGGTTATCGTTATTGTTATTATTGTTGTTATTATTAGTGTTATTTTTATTTTATTGTTATTGTTGTTATTGTTATTGTTATTATTATTGTCGTTGTTGTTGTTTTACCATTATTATTCTTCTTCTTCTTATTTTTATTATTATTATTATTATTATTTATTGTTATTTTTGTTATTATAATTGTTATTGTTATTGTTATTTTATTATTATTATTATTATTATTATTGTTGTTGTTGTTATTATTATTTTTATTATTATTATTATTATTATTATTATTGTTATTATTATTATTTTTGTTATTATTACTATTGTTATTATTAATAAATATTTACAAAAATGATCATTAATTACAAAAAATAATACATTAAATTATTAATCAAAATTTATCCATGGTGCATAAAAAATCATTAAAAATTATTATTCATAATAATAATTCATATAATATTATATATGGAATGTATGAATTCGGTGTAAATTTATTGAAAAAAGTAAAAGGATTTAGAAAAATCAGGTATATACGCACACAGACCCAAATGATATTTATAGGTCACCTCGACTTGCCCTGTATTACTTTCGAGCTGCTGCTAATGTGATACATGTTGGACCATTAGCTAAAATTAGCCTTAACTAAAAAGAATAAAAATAATTACTTTAGATCCAAAATTAAAAAAAAATGTTTTTTTAAAAATGATAATAACTTAATAATAGATAATTGTTTTGCTAACTTTCTTGTTTCTATAAAATAGGCTTAAATTACAATAGATATTAAATAACAAATACTCAAAATAAAAAAGAAATAGAAATAGAAATTTAAGAAACATTTTGGCCTCAACTCAATTGCAATTAGAATAGAAAAGAAAAATGGAAAATTGAACCATTATTTATTTGTAAATTGTTTCAAAGCCTTTCTAGTTTTGTGTAACTTTATAGATATCAGAGGGAAAAAGGAACTTCGTACTTTTATTTTCTTAAAAATAGCTAAACAGTAGACACATGCAATTCTCATCCAACGGGAAAGTTGAGAAAGAGCATATCTCCTATTAGTTATGTGAAGGTAAGATCTTTTCAACAAAACAATACATAGGATGTCCAGTATTTCTTAATTCTTATTTATCAAAATCAAATGTATATATATGCACACAAACACTAAATGAAGGTAAAAACTAAAACAATATGTTGAGATAAAAAACACCAAATGAACTTGTGTCTTACTCTTAGTAACAAGTAAGAGACTAAAGTAAGAGACAAGTTTAACGGTTCAACTTGCTGCCATCATCAATGTAGAGTCTACCTTAGCTATTTGATAACTATTCAAAGCTGTAACCTAAGTAAACTAATAGAATAATAATTATTAAGGGTTTCTTAAGTAAACTGCAAAGTCTAGATTTTAGCTCAGTGGACAAGGAGGGGAGCATGAAAATTTTAAAATTCTCTCTTTTGAGTTAACAATTAAAATTTGGGTAAAATATTTTTCCATTAAAATTTTTTAAGTTTAATTTTAGTTTTTCTATAAAATTTTATTTTATTTTACTTTCAAATTTAGAAATGTATCATTTTTTGTTTTACCATTTTTTATATAAAGTTAGGCATGCACGATATTTCAACAACCTATTACTATGCCGCAAAAAATGCAAAAAATATAAAATACGATAATGAGTACTAAAAACTTATTACATAAAGAAACAACTAACTAACTACTTAACAACTAACTACAAAGCTCCAAGTCAAACTTAACAAGGCAAACTTGTAGCCCCAAGTCCACATGAATGAAGAGTATTAGAATATGAAGTAAAGCAAACATTTGACTCATATCCATGTTGGCATATTTCATCAACCCTCGTGTAGTTTTGTTCAGTCAAACCATAACTATAAACCTTTGCTTTAGTAGCTAAAATTAAGAGAGAACCATTCATAACTGTGAATCCAGTTATTTTAGGATTTTCCTCCCTCAATTCCATCCTTTTTGTTCTTATCTTGAGAATTCTGAGCCACTTGTTTGAGTAATAATCTTTCAAGATCCAAATGGTAAAGACAAACTTTTTTAGCCTCACCAAACAAATGGAGGATTGATCCTTTCCCCAACTGAAAATGCTAATGACACAATTCAAGTGATGAGAACCCCTTATAGCCTCTTTTGGCACCCTCAGCATCGTTGAGGTGCCACTCTCAAGATTGTAGGACATTATATAAGGCCTATAAAAAGAACTCCTTTTAGTAAGATAAGGAAAGCAATTTGAGATGAAGTGGATGGCTCCATTGCAATGCACATGCATTTTAAACTTCATGGTCCTACCACCCACAAAGAAGCTTTTTTCCTTTGTTTCCCACACTCCATCCTCAGGCTTGTAAAACTTGAAGGCATAATTTGAGAACCAATCATCTTGTCCATCGATGAGAAACACCATGTAGTCATCACGATAGTTTGAACATTCCAACAACCCCATCTTGAGATCATTATAAGGCTTTTCTTGAACCTCCTTTGGACAAGGAATGTACAGCCAAGACTTTGTTGCCGAGTTACAGATGAAGAGTTCAACCGTCGCCATGTTAGATGTGCGACAAAGGATCAATCCCTTAATGGAAGACATGACTCTTGAATGTGACAAAGATCTTTGAACATCCTTAGACACACCAGAAGATGATTCTTTTTCAGGTAATGGGTACAACTTAACTTGTTTATTGTACCATTGACATGTATCTTGTTGAAGGAAGAAGCATGTGTCGTCTGTAGGGATAAATTTCTTAAGCCAAATAGATATTTTTCATTAATCAATATTAAGAACCGTTGTTTCAAATTACAGAGTTAAGGTTAGTAACTCATACCTGTATTCATTAACGTTGACCAAAAAGGTTATAGCGAAATAGTCTTTTGGTTCAATGATCTTCCTTAGCCAAATCATTGGATTCCTTAACGGGGCTTGATGTTCCTCTTCTGATGGGGAGACAGAGAGACGTGTGTTTCTGATTTGGCATATCTGAGACCATGACCATCTTTACAATTTGAAACCTGTTAGGGTTCCCATTAACCCCTAATGGGCCAAATCTGGTTTCCACTTATTTGGGCCCATATCAATTTTTCCTATTGGTAGTTTAAAGGCTCACTAAAATTAGATCACTTTTATTGAGCTCAACTAAATGTAAATAACTCATATAAATACTACAAATAATATATGTAGCCCACATTAATTATTAGAAATAAAATTTCTAACAATCTCCCACTTGGACTTCATATTCATTTAAGTATTTATATCACAAAATTCTTTAGGCGCATAACCATTGCAACAACAAGGAACCATTGCAACTTTCATCATTATTTAATGTGATTAAACCACAATGATCACCACAATTGTATGCACTCAATGACATAGATCAAATATGGATAAGTGGCATGGAAATTACATGCTATGTGATCTCAGTCATGTCTATTTCCAACTGGTCCAAACTTTATTCTTTATAGAGATCCATTCAAAACGCAACACACACACACACACACACATATATATATTGCACAAAAACAAGCTCAAAATAAAATTATAAACATCAATTTTATTTCTGTAGAAAATCCAAATAATACAAATATCTGGAAAAATTAAAAATAAAGAAGACATAAAACATAAATGAGACTCCCACTAAACTAAGGTACTATAAGGAATTACACCCATATGAGCAGTGTGCTCATGAAATACTTTAGGCACCAAACCCTTAATTAGTAAGTGGATCAACTAGCATAAAATTAGTCCCTACATGTTCTATAGAAATTTGCTTATTCTGAACTCTTTCCTTAACAACCAAAAACTTTATATCATGAATTTTGACTTGGTTGTACTGCTATTGTTATTGGAATAAAGAACTACAAAGTTATTATCACAATAGATTTTCAATGGCCTTTCAATGCCATCAACCACACGTAAATTAGTGATAAAATTTCGCAGCCATATCCCATGGTTGGACGCCTCAAAACAAGCAATGAACTTCGCAGACATGGTTGAAGAAGCTATAATAGTTTGTTTAACAGAATTTCAAGAGATAGCACCTCCAACCAACATAAAGATGTATCCAGATGTGGAGCGTTTGTTGTCTTAACATCCAGCAAAATCAGAGTCTGAGTACTCAATGACCTCTAAATTGTCAGACTTCTAATAAGTGAGCATACTCCTAGTTTACTATCTTTCATGCCGAATCTATCTAAAACTTTATCGATATAGCTCTCTTGTGATAACCTTATGATACCATGAGAACAATCTCTTAGTATCTTAATATGTAATACAAAAGAGGCTTCACCAAGATCTTTCATTTCAAAGTTCTTTGTCAAAAATATCTTGGTTTCGTGCAATAAACCTACATCACTGCTAGCAAGCAGTATATCATCGACATATAACATCAAGAATATATATTTACTCCCACTAAACTTATGATAAACACAATCATTAACTATATTTTCCTCAAAATCATATTAGGTAATAACTTAATGGAACTCGTAGTTCTAACACCCTCTACCCCAACATACATATAGAATAATTATAAAACATTGGGTTAAATAATATCTTTAGAATTAAAAAAATAGTTCCATTAACATAAGAGTAGAGAATTCACAATGGCTTCTTTTGCTGCATCCACTTCTACCGCTGTAGCCTCCACAGTATCTCCCATCATTGCTTCTGCTTCAACTCCAACTATGATCTCTGCTTCATCTCCTATTTATAAGACTTTCAAAATTTGAAAACAAAGCAGAATTTCAGTTAATTTAACAAATATTTTTAATTATTAAATAAAATATAAAATCACGAAATATTTTCAGCAGGTATATAAAAAAAAATTAGACAAGTAAAATATTTTTTCAAAAAAAGGCTAAAAAAGAGAGAGAAAGAAACAGAGCCACCAGTATGCGCCAACAACGCGCCACGTCAGCAACTCCGGGAAGCACCTCAGAAACAGATTGGAATTCAAGTGATACAGCTTAAAAAACAGGCAATTTCTTTTTTTGTTAATTTCAAGTGATTTGTAACGAAAAACGATTAAACAAAAAAGAAACTATCTTTGTAAAGAAAAATGAAGAAAACAGATAAAAGCAGTAATCTGGATTCATATAATTGTGACTATCTTGGCAAATCCGATTAGGTACCTGAGATATGATTTGCGTTCCCTCTCAACTCTTCAGACAGAATCTTCTAAGCTCCAAAAGCAAAATCGCAGCTGCCTACAGAGAAAAGATAAGAAGAAAGATTGTGAGCTTTAACTTTGAACCAACGTATGAGATGATAATATAATTACCAAAGACAAACAACGATAAATAATTTTATACGGCGGCAGCGATAATTTTATTTGTAAGCTAATTTATTATTTATTTATTCCTTAAAATCCAAAGCATAGGAAAGATCGTATGGGAAATTAACAGTAGAATAAAAGATTGAGATATGATACTGTAGGAGTTTACCTTGAAATGATAAGCAGAGAAGGTGAGTTTGAAAGCAGAGGAAGTTGATCCGATCGAATCCGAAGAAAGGAAGATCGAGAAGAAGTGAGTTAATGCAAGAGAGACAGAGAGAGGCTTAAGTTTGCAAAATCAAAAAGGAAAAAGAAAAGGGAAATATAAAATGGTAATGATTTGAAAAAGTGGCTTTGTTTGGATTAGAGAGACGCCAGCATTAGCAATTAGCATTAGTATTGGCATTACTATTTTGCACCTTCAAATTTCAGGAATGGAATCTTTGGATTGCTTTTCAGATCTTTGCCCTTTCCTTTCTCTATTTATTACCATAATGCCACCCTCACTCCTTTCGCGTTATTTCTCGCCTCACCACTGCTGTCTTTCTACTTTTATTTATTTTAATAGAAATTAAATTAAATAAAACCCAATTAATAAATTAAAAATAAACAATATTTACAATTTAATCATTTAAAACTTTAATTAGCATAAATGGTACAAAAGTAAACATTAAATTTAATTCAACTCATTCAATTAGATATTATTTAAGACTTATTATTTACCAACCTTATGATAATTTAAACATCAGTATTTACAGTAGGGTCAAAAATAAAAATTAATATTAACCATAAGTGTAAATGTATTATTAAATGCTAAGATTTATACTAATTATATTTGACTAGGAATAGATTAATATATTCAATACTTAGTTTTATTAATTAGATTTATTTGATTATATTAATAATGTTTAATTGATATTAAATGATGCACCGAATATATTATAGTTTCAAATTGTATTTATTAAAAGACATTAATTATTATTTTCTTAATTTAATTCAATAAAATAAGATATTTTTTATCATTGAAAAAAATCATTCAACCAATTTATTAATCAAGTATTAGAACACACATCTAATTGGGTAGAGACTCTTTGCCTTAAATGAGATTGGCGCAAGTTTAACCATGTTAGGCATTATTACAACTAAGACTTTCTACTTCATTCACGTCAAACACGAGTTGAGTAACGATGGATGTGGGCGAGCCTAAGAGTTCTTTGTCTTAATGACGTTGGGTGTGGGTTGGCTTATGAAAATGTGTTATTTTCTTGATGAAATGTCAAACATGTATGTGGTAGTTGTATTTATTACATGTTGTATGTTGATATATGTTACTAGTTCTTTATACATTAATCTGAAGCAATGTGTATTGATGATTATCTTGTTGAAAATGTTGGGGAGATGGTGTTGAAAATGCTTTAGGCATTAGGGTGTGTTGTGTTTATTAACTTAGGATTAGAGAAAATGGTGTTTTAAAAGTTAGATATTCCATTATGAGGATATTGTTGTAGTGTTTTATAAGCCTAGTTGTTGAAAACTCTTCTCAAGTAATTGACTCTTGAAGTGAATAGTTGAATTTTGTCTAAGACCTTAGTTGATATAGTATTTAAGTAAGGTTGAGACATACCAACTATAAGTGACCATAAAACAGGGTCCAAGTCGAGATATATTGAGTGTAAATGACCAATGTTGATTCGTATAAGGGCCAAGTTGAATCATACATATATAAAGTAACTAAACAAGTAAGGTAAAAGATTGGAGGGGCAAAATCCATAACTAAGTATTGAAAGAGACAATATTTAGATGGTAATTAGTGGACTAATTTCATAGGATACTTAGTTATACATGTTAACGTTGTGATAAACTCATACCTAAGTTATTATAACGTAACAAAAAAATATTAAACTTTTATAGTTTAAGTGACAAAATCTAAGAAATCATGTTGTTGTGAAATTTTATCTAATTTGGTTGTTGATCTAACAAGTGTAAAAGGTTCACATTATTATTGGTTCAGTAGGATCAAGTTACTTTAATTGCTTACTTTTGTTATAGGAGATCTTTATAGTTGAATGGGTGACGACGTATATAGTTGAGGTGTTATGCATATGATATGTTGATTGCGGTATTGTTCATATGAATTTATTATTGAATAGTATGGTTGTGGTATAAGTTGAAACTGTTTTGAAGTCATTAAGTTGTTTACTTTTTAAGGTTGTCGAATATCATGTGAAAATGCTATTGTTGTGTTGCTAAATTATAAGCCATGATATATTGTGTTGTGTGATTTAAATGATGATATTAGTAATATAAATGCGTTTACTTTTATACTTATTATATGATTATTCTTTTGAATATTAACTTTTCCTCGCATGTTTTCATAAGATAAAATTACGAGGATCATACTTTTATAATTGCGCTGCTTAACCAATAATTAAAATTTTCACACTTTAATGCAATATATATATATATTATGGTATATATATTCAAATATAGTGTATATGTTAATTTTAAGTAATTATATTTATATTTTCGTTACAAGTAATTAAATCATTAAATATAGAAATCATGGTAAATTATTACATAATTCTTGTTTACTAAATCAAAAGTATAATTCGTTTTTTTACTGGATTAGATTCTATAAAAACAAAATGGTACATCAAATTGTAATTCTATATGCACAAAATTCTCGATTAAATTCTATAAAAACAAAGTGGTACTTCAAATTGTAATTCTATACGCACAAAATGGGGTAAGTGGATCGAGCTTACCGGATTTTGAAACACCTCATAGTCTCATACTGCACAACATTCAAGTAGAAGCTCTTTTATAGTTTTATCTTCTTTTTTTTCTTTCTTTTCTTTTACTTTTTAAATAAAAAACAAAAAACAAAATGGAACGAACGAAACAGTACCTTAATACTCTCCTTCCTCTACGTGGATCACACCCAAAGATATGCATCCGTGATCTTTCTTGGATTTTCATGGTTAGCGGGAGAAAGAAAGACTATTGTTTTTCCTTTTTATAAAAGTACTTGTTTATCTTTAAAATATCAAATAGAGTACTATATTAATAGAAATATAATAGTACATGTACATACTTGATTTACTTTATTTTATAAATATTTATTAACTTCCTAACAAAAAATTAATAAATATAATTATTGACTAAACACCATCATCAAACAAACACAAACCTCTACAACAAAAATGAAGATTAACAATATCAATGACCTCGAGACCAATGCAATTAGTGTGGGCTAAGCTAACTTTTGTTATTATTGCTTTTTCCTTTCTTTTTATCTTTTTTCAACTTGTATTGACTGACTGATGCAGAATTAATTTTCAACTAAATTATTTATGACCTAATATTCTGTGTATCACTTAAATTTCGTGTATATATCATAAATTTTGTTTCAGATATATACAAATTTTATAGGGTGTTCAACATTTTGAAAAAAATCAGGTCTTTATTGGTATTAAATTATTACATATAATTTGTAAATTGAGAATGTTCCTTGTCTCTCATAAAAAAACATTTTCATGTGCTGGGAATCCGACAAAAATCTTAATTAAAAGAAAAATATGATTAAGGAGTGAATTGGCAGAAAGGAGCAGGATGCGATGCCACGAAGATCCCGTTTAAATGGTGACCATGATCTGGCTTGCGGCACGTGGTTGCCATTCATCTTCTCTCTGTTTTTTGTTTCCTGTATTCTTCTACAACTAAGTTGAAACTCAATAATAGCATATGAATTGATGCATAGCTGGAGTTATTTTTTCATTAAAAGAATAAAATACAATGTGCCCAAAAGAAAAGAAAAGAAAAGAAAAAGAAAACGATCTGCAAGTGCAAATAGTTTGATGAGTGCGGACGGAAACATCCATCCCACAGAATGTACAAGAAACAATAACATTCCTTCACAAACTCATACTCAAGCTCTTTTCCGTGACCACACAGCCTTGAGATAGTTACAACGCTCCCTATGAAAATCCACCACAAAACATAGCTGTCTTATTGCCTCTCTTTTCTTCTCTCCAAGGCTAACCAATTCCTCATCCTTCTCTTTCACAATCTTCTCCAATTTTCCCACTTTCTTCTCAAGCTGGCTTACTTCCTTCCTCAAATTCAGCTTCTCCCCACCTTCTTTACTCACTTGTGCCTCCAAATTCCACACATTTTCCCTCAACAACAATTCTTGTTCCTCCTTTTTCCCCAACAACTCCCTAAACTCTTCCACATTCACTCTCAATTCCCTCACCTCGCAATTCCTCTCCCTCACCCAATCCTTCACAAACTCCACCTCACACGCCATCCCGCTCACGCGCCGCGCGTGTTCCTCCACCTTCCCAACCGCCAAACTCAGCGTACCCAAATCAAACCCACTCGGAACGCGTGACTCCTCCTCGTAACTCGCGATTCTCCTCCCCAGACTCTTGTTCTCTTCCTCGTACCTCATCTTCGTGAGCCTGCAACTGTGCTTGTTCTCGTTGTTCAGCTGTTCCGCCACGTGGATCCTCTGGTGCAGTAACCTTATGTTGTCCTCCATCTTCCTCCGAAACGCCTCCGCCAACTCGTTCATTTTCCTCTCCGCTGTACTCTGCATTAACCTCAATTTGCTGTACACAACTTTCGCTTGTTTGTTCTCCTCGTTCAGTTTTTCAATCGTTTTCTCTTGATCCCATACCTGGGCCGCTAGTTTCGCGTTCAAAGTTTCCATCTTTGCCATGCTCTCAGCGTATTCCTTCTGGCTTCGCTCGTGTTGCTGCTCCAGCTTGTTTTTCTGTTCGTGCATTGTGTCCAATTCGAGCCTCATAGTGTTCAGGTTTGCCTTCAGAGCCATTGTCTTCATGGAAGCACCGTTTTTGTGATTCTCTTGTTCCCTCATGAAATTAGAGATCTCTTCCCCTCTCTGTGTTATTGCTGTTCTCAGTTCGTGGTTTCTGTCTTGGAGAGCCTTGTTTTCATCCGCCACCTGTTTGATCTCATAACTTGTGTCTCTTAACTGTTCTTCCAATTCGTTTTTGTGGCTGTTTTGAGCTTCCAGTTTTTGTTCCAGTTCCTTTATCTGCTCGAGAAACCTCTCTTTCTCTTCCACCATGTTCTCCTCTACCGATCTCATTTCGGCTAAGTTGTCTTTCAGATTTTCTATCTGAATCAGGTCTTGAGACATTTGTTCCCTCTGGCTTTCAATCTCGGATTCTAGTTCTTTGTTCTCACTTTCTAGCGAATTTAGCTTTTGCTGCATTTGGTTAAGCTGCTCCATCAACTCCTCTCTTTGGATTGATGCTTCGTTTTTATCATGTTTTATTTTTTCTTCCATTTCATTTTTCTGTCTCTGTAGGGATTTGGTCTCCTGTTCTAGCTCATTCATCTTTGCCATGAAATATGCAATGTTTGACTTGGCTTTGTTGTTATTGTTATTGAGTTTTGCCTGAAAATTATATACCACAGATTTTTCCTCTTTCAACTGCAACTCAAGTTCCGAGACTTGGTCATTAAGCTCACTGTTCTTGGAGCTTAGCTGTTTAATTTCTTGTGTTTGGCTTTCAACTTGAAGTTCTAGATCCATTTTCTGCTGGCTCAAGATCTCCACCTTTTTCATTAGTGAAGCTAACTTTTCCTCAAATTCTGTTGCATCACCTCTATCCAATTCCCGCTTAGGAGTTTCAGAATCAGATGCTGATCTTCTTCTATTGGCTTCTACTTCCTCTGAGGAAAAGTATTCAGAGTCTGAGTCAGAGGAAGACGCTGGAGTTTTCCTGTTTCTTCTGCGAGAAACTGCTTTCTCAAGCTCTTCAGTAACACGATCATATTGTGTATAAAGTGATTGGTGCTGCTTGTATAAGTCCTCTACTAGCCCCACAAGTTCTGTCTGTTTTGTAGAATGTTTAAGGATCCCGTCTCCTGTGCTAAGGTTTTCATTCTTAATAAGCTTCAGGATTTTAGAGAGGCTGTTTTCGATATCTGCAAAGAAAGTGGAATCATGATATTATCAAATATTTCAAAATTAAATTACAAACACGGCCAAATGCAAGACTTCAAAATAATTATTATACTCATGCACTCACTTTCTCATCTCTCCTTTTCACTCCATTTTTTCCCATATCTTTTTCCCTTTCCCTCGCATCACTTAGCATCTCCAATGGTACACTCTTT